CCTGTCTTCTCCTTCTTGACCTCAACCTTCGGTTCGGCCTGCTTCGTCTCCTTAGCCACAGCTTTTGGAGCCGGAGCACTCCTCGCCTCAGATGCCGAAGCAGCCTTCCCTTTCGGCTCTGCCTTGGGAACCGGGGTCACTTTAGCCTTGGCACTCGGCCTGGCCCCTTCAACCACCATCTCGGCCCAAGACTTCTTCGGCTGAGCTGCTGCTGCATCAACCTCCATCGGAGCAGGTCCAGCGTCATCCTTCGCCTTTGGGACGGATGGGCTACCGCCCTTACCGGATCCTTTACCCGGCACTTCACCTGACTTTGGTGGCGGGCCGGAAGGACTACCGCCCTTACCGCCCTTTTCCCCCTTTTTCCCTTTTCCTTTTCCGCCCTTGGGGACCGGCTCCTGCTTGGGACCAGGACCCGGCGCAGCATGATGCACCGATTGGAGTCCCTCGATGTCCACGTCAATGGTTCGGGTTGACGACCGTCAAGAACCGTCCTCACCCTTTCGTCGCTAACGTAGACGAATGGGTCACGGAATGGTGCGGGAGGCTCCGACTGTCCGGCACTGATCGCCTTCTGCACCTTGGCTATCGCCTCCTTCAACCTCTTCTTCTCATCATACCCTGTCTCCGATACCATGTACCCCCTGAGCTGCGACATCAACGCATGACTCTCCAGGATGTCCACGTCCTTTCGATGGGTCGGGTACAATGGGGTCAGATGACCAGCCGCAGAACCAATCACGTATGCCATCGGAATATAGAATGACAAGTACGTGTCATGACGAGCGAACTTCCTAACGGAAGTCGTCATACGCCTACCCCACTGAGCAGCGTGTCTTGGGTTGGCCCGGAAGTACTCCGTGACCGACTCAAATCTATCGACTTGGTTGGTCTTGATCAGGTGCTTCGCCACCCACTTCTCCACAAACGCATCCGAGGCCGAAATCCCGGACACATAGGAGAATTGGAAGAGCACCTTCGCCAGCTCATCCCACGCCGCATCGACACCTCCCTTGTCTTCACCAAGATAAGGGGGAAGTCTGATGCCGCTCTGCACCGTCATCCTTAGATCGGATGCCATCGAATAGGAAATCAAATTCCTCTTGATGACTCCGACCACTTCGGAGGGAATCCTCCTGGGCTTGAACTGCCCCATGGTCCTCACCCACTCCGGCACGATGTGGCACGTTTCGAAGTCCTTTTCCTCCGCGTTGGGGATAAAGTTCGGGTAAAAGACCGGGAGCGCGCACCCGGGACACAAGTGCATCCCATTCGGCATCAATTCTGCGCACCTCAAGCAGAACGTGGCAGTCACATTCAGCCTGATCTCTTCCCGTGATCGCCTGTGCTCTCCCCTAACGGGGGTGAAGTCACCGTAGTCCCATGCCCGATGGTACACTATCGTGTAATCATCGTACATATACGCCGCCTTCCAAGCCCCCATGTGGATCTCGTTCCTAACGGCAAGAGTCTTCCTTCTCGTCAAAAACACGGGTCCAACCAAGGACCAGTGCACCCGAAGATCCACCATTACCACCACGTACCTACCGGAGTAGTTCCGCAGCCTGTCCCTGACATACCACGAAGGCGATACCTCAGCATCCGGCGCCATGGCTCCCACAAGTGGGATCAGGCCCTCATCCTGCCTACCATCCCCAATGGTCTCGTACACATCGGGCCTCGTGATCAATATCTCGATCATGGCCTTTCCATTTCGCCTCACCCTTTGGAGCTGAACCGCCTTCCGAAAGTCCGAGAACTTCATGATGACGTATCCCACCATGGGGAGTTCATTCCAATGCATCTCATACATCAGAGATCCGCCAGGTGCATCTTCCTGAGTATACCTGTGCCTAACGGCACTGTAACTCAAGTCGCGTCCGATCCGCGTGTGCCTAACGGCAACCAACCTGGTGCTCTCCTTGAGGAGAACGCCATCCCCGTCGTACATGACCATGAGCATCGCCTCCACTTGCCCTATCGGGAAAGCTTTAAGCGTCGGAATGAAGAACTTCCAAGACATCTCAGCGTTCTCCATGCCCGAAATCTCCTTCAGGAACCAGATGGCCTGGTCACTTTTCACCCAGTTTCCAGCCTCGCGTCCGGTCTCCTTCAGCACACGTTCCTCGAATAACTCCGAGACTCTCTTTGAATTGATGACCAAGCCGTCGAAATCGCACGAGAGCAGTCTCATCAACTCCTTCGCCGCCTCCCGTCCTGCAACAGTGCCCACGGTCTCCTCGTAGTTCGGGAGGTATTCACCCAACCTCGTCTTCGAGGGAACCACAATCTGGCAAGTGACGGCCTCATCAGGGATAACTCCCGTTTCCCTTAACTCCGGATTGATCTCTCGCCTATCGGCAAGATAATCCTCCTTCCCATCCAGTATCACAAGATTGTAGGTCATCTTGCTCGCCGCCCCACTAGGCCTGAACTTCCTGCTATCATCCAGCTGGTCAGGAGCAAAGGGTCCACTAGGGGCAGCTGCACTCACCAGAGG